CATGTGCTTAGAAAAAATGAACTTTGGGTCTGTCTTCAGACACTGGGTCACTTGCTTGCATGCAAAAGCATCAACAAACATCATGCTAAATGGTCACCTCTCACCGCCATTCCCCCTGCAAAGATGGGTGAGGCAAGGAGACCCCATCACCCAGCTTCTCTTTGTGTTAGTCATGGAGACGTTGGCAACCCTCATTGGATCTAACCCGAAGATCGAACGCATATCAATACCGGAACTGGCAACCCATTGCATCCTAGTAACCTCCCTTTTCGCTGATGACCTCACGATCCTTATGAAGATCACGGCAGAAAGTCTGCAGGCGCTGGTGCATACCATCCATCTCTTCTCGGTGGCAGCCGACATGTCGGTCAACTGGGGCACCAAAACAGAAGGATGGTGGCTGCACCACGGGGGAACCTGTCCGCCCCTCCAACCTGCAGTCAACTGGAAACCAAGGGAAGAGGCTATCCGAGTCATGGGGGTCAGGCTTACAGCCCTTGGCCCCTCAAAGGACCATGGGGAGGTGCTTGCAGGCCAGGTTATGCAGAAATTGGCCAAATGGAAGGGGCTGCACACCTCGCTCATCGGCAGGGCGCTGACCATTGACAATGTAATCTTGTCCACCATATGGTATAAACGAGCGTTTTGGCACCCGGGAGACAAAAATGTGGCCAAAATGAGGTTAGCAGTGACCTCCTATTTATGGAGGAATGATGACAGCTTAGCCACAACCATACAGAGAGTGGCCTGGAAGATCGTGGTGCAGCCACGTGCCAGAGGGGGACTGGCAATACTAGACCCGGAGATCAGTTTAAGGCACTGATATTCAAAATCATCATACGAATGCTCATGGCCAATGTCGTCCCCTGGTCGCCCATGGCAATGCTGCAACTCGCAGATCTAGCACCCCCATCCAACCCAAACAGGCCAATACACCCACTGGCATGGTTCACAAATGCCCATTGGACCATCCCGAAAGCCTCATACAACAGGTCACACTCATAGGAGGGGGACGCCTCCACACGAGACTCGGTCAAGAGTGACCTTAAAAATGACCCCCTCTGGGTGCACCTCCTCCACCTTTGGAGAGAGATAGGACCAAAAAAGCTCCCAACCCCGCGAAGGTGGCATGAGGTATGGAGCCAACCAGTCTTCGGTAACCCTGAAGTGGTGGACACAAGAGGAGATCCCTTTCAGTTAACCAACAAATCTGACTGGTGAGCATGGCCCGAAAAAGGAATCTACACGGTAGGAGATCTGTGGGATGCGTCTACTGGAAAGTAGAAAACAGCAAAAGATCTCAGACCACACTTCAAGCACACAAAAAAACTCCAGGATAAGTTACTAGAATTGCAGGAGGCAATCCCTCTGGCATGGGTCTTAGCATTAAGGAAAGGCCCGGGGATCAAAGCAGAGGGTTGGGTGATGCTGCACTCATCCTTACCGATTCCCATGGTGATCTACCAAGTAGAGGAGATCTCAGACTCACGCACAGCCTTGGTGGCTTACTAACCGAAGTTGCCTGGATCAAAATTCGCTAAATTAACTAGGAACAAAGACCTGGACAGACACTGCGGGTGGGCGGAGCTCCTAAGGATCAGAGCGGTAGGAGACGAACGCAAGGGGCACTGGGCATACCAGCCTACGACGCCCATATGCTCCCTCCCATTTGACCCAGCCGAATGGCAATGGGAAGGAGAGAAACCACTACCGATCTGGCAATCCTCAGTTAAGGAAGGATATAGAGCGACCCATGCCAGAACGGCTATTAACGACCGCCTCAAGCAGAGCTGGCTCAGGGATTGCCCATTTGACCCCGGACAGATACCAAATCCGTCATGGACTAAAATAGCAGGAATCATGCCTACCTCGCTGTGAGCACTGCAATGGCAGATTTGGCATCGGTGCTTACCAACACCAGACGGGTTGGTATCCAGGTCGAGACTGGAACAGAAAGGAGTCCTCTCACCAATCTGTTCCTACTGCGGGAGGTCGTCCCCCCCCAGAAGAGCAGACCTAGAACATTGTTTGCCGGAATGCCCGATGGCGTCCCAGATATGGAGGTGGTGGGATGCGGTCTGGCGATCATTGACAGGGAAGAATTTACCCTGGCAGCCTTGTGCAGTGCTGTGAGGAACGCCGCTTCCATCGACCTCAGAATCGACACTATTCGAACATACGTTATACCATACGACCAGACTGACAATATTGATGGTCATATGGAGAGCACGATGCTCGTTTCAGAGACATGAACATACATTTGCCAGTGGCTTTTTAGAAGCAAAATCTGAGATCATTCAATATATCCAGACTAATATTAAAAATGCATGGAACAAACTTAAACAGGCTATTTCCACAACAACAGACCAACAGCAGAGGGACGACGACATTCGGACATTTAGAGACACATGGATAGACCCACATGGCAAGCTAGCCACGCTAGACACACAGAACAATCTCACATGGGGCTGGTGGCCACCACAAGACCGCCCATGGCCCCTCAGACCGACCCAGGAATTTGAAATCCCTATCAAGACTCCCTCGCTGGGGCTCATACCCCGACCTGAGGGAGACAGGCCCCGGGAGACTAGTGCCACGCTATCCACAACCCAGAACCAGTCCCCACCCCTCCCTACGCAACCGCCTCCTAACACTCGTGTGCTTGCGTTGTATTTCAATTGGTAATTTGAGCCTGGGGCACTGGGCCTCCATGTTAAAAAAAAAAAAGAAAAAAAAAAAAACACTCCCCCCTCCCCCTCCTCCTCTACTCCCTGCTCTACCCCCCCCGGAAACGAGCCGAGCTGCCCCTCACTTCCCTTCAGGCAACCCCTCCCTTCACCGCATTCTCAACCCCCATCACAGACGCCCCCACCTCCTGGTGAGACCCCCTCCCCTCCACCTTTCCCTCCTTACCCTCCACCAGAATTCTCCCCCCCTCCCTCTCCTCCCCAAAGCCCTCCTCCTCTCATGCTCGGCCTACTCTACCCAAATGACAAGACGGGATGAAATCAAGGCAGAGTGAAGTGGAGCACAACATTGCACAAATGTGAGGCCTAGACAAGGAAGCTGAATTTTATCTCCGCAGTGAACTTGAAAGGCCGACCTCTGAACAAGTCAAAGATAGCCACATCCAAACAGAAAGGGATCCACAGGAAGAAGCATGGAAGTGCAGACAGACGACAGAACGGGCTACTGGCCAGCAGGAACAGACACAACACACAGGCGGGCTGCGGACACCTGGAAGAAGTCTGAGGGTAATGGGGATACTGGACTGTAAGGAGACCTAGGATCAGGAAGAACAGCAGACAACCTCCAGGTGCAGGCTGGGCCAGATAAGTACGAGTCCCGGAATGGAAGGTTTGATTAGCAGCTCCACGGGTTAGAGGGAGCTCTTGAGAAGAAGCGTAGATGGCCACAGCCCTGACATTGTATCCAATTGTTGCTATAAGGGACGCTGGACCCCGTTTCCAGCAGGTGCCGCTCCCCACCAATAGATGGAGCAACCCAACACCCAAAGCCTAATTCCTGGCGGTTCTCTTACCACCGCTGGGATAGAGGCCTTGCAAGCGGGGTCAAAAAAAAAAAAAAAAAAAAAAAAAAAAAAAAAAAGAACAAAAGGGACCTTTGTGCAATGTTGGACTTGTAATGAGAGAGAGGGGGGAAAAGGGAAAGGGAGGAGAATTTCACCCATTACTTCAATTTTCATATTGCTTTCCTTTTGCGTGACCGGGAGGGGAAATGATGGACAAGTGGTCGACATCAGTGGAGCTCGGTAAAGGTCCCATTCTTTTCTTTTCTTTTTTCGTTTTTCTTTTTTTTTTTTTTTTCTTTTTTTTTTATGGACAACCCGACCGGATGCTAGGTGTGCTGATACGAGCAGGCACACCTAGCACTATCCCATTCTTTTATTTCCGGGTTTTTTGTGAGGACCCTGGACCTTTATGACATTAGATTTGTGAGTGAAAAGAAAAAAAAAATAGTGTTATGCGGCGTTTCGGTTGCGGTGCGCTCCAATAATTGAAGACATCTCACTTGATCAACTGTTACTTCCCCTTTTTTTTTTTTTTTTTTTTTTTTTTTTTTTTTTTTTTTTTTTTTTTTTTTTTTTTTTTTTTTTTTTTACTTCCCCTTTTTTTTTCCTTTTTTTTTCTTTTCTTTTTTTTTACTTCCCCTTTTTTCATATCCTTACATTCCTTTCTCACTCTCCCAATTGTTTCTGAATGACGACAGGAGGGACCATGCCACAGGCAGAGGCAAAAGGGCATGAATGGGAAAAAGGAAAGAATTGGTGAGGGGCCAAAGTCCGGGGTGGGGTGCGGGGGAGAGAGAGAGAGAGAGAGAGAGATGGTGAAGATGTGTGTTCGCAATCCTTAGCTACCATGCTCAAGAGCAGCTTTGATTTTCAACTTTTTATGTTATGGGTTGTAGCAGTTTGCAAAGATAAAAGAGAAAATCCGACAGAACTGCCACTTAGGGCATACTCACACGGGGACCCCAAATCCGCAAAATATGCGGATTTGGGGAGGGCGGATTGAGGTTTTGGGGCATGGTTTACAACTTCACGTCACACTGCTCTGGCTTTTCAGATGGAACAAGGTCGCGGCCGTCCAGAGAAATGGGGACTTGGTACTTGGCTGGTCACACGGCCGCCATCCGCAAATTGTGCAAGAACTTTTGTGCACGAATTTTTGCCAATTTTTGAAGAAAATGCAAAAAAAAGAAAAAGGGCATTTGCAGCCACATCCAGAGGTGACCGCAAAATCCCTTGCCCTGCTTCCCAGGCCGCTGACAAATGGGCACACCAATAGTACAATTGATACTTCGGCAAATCTGCGTGATCGTCCCGCTACCCTTTTTTTGGAAGGGATTCCGGATTATACGTCCCGGTGTAGTATGCCCTTAGACTAGGCTGTTTTCCCGGACGTCCGGGGAGCCAACTTGTGCCCGGATTGGGCCGGATATACACCCGGGTGTGCGGCCGGGCATGAACTCCGGCAGGGTTCCGGGCAGCCACAGCGCAAAAAAACAGAAATTAAAGATGGCACGTGTTTCCTCTGCCTCTTCACGTCCTTTTCGTAAATTTTCTGCTCTCAGTTTTCCAATTGGTAGACATGTTGCGTATTTGGTAGTCTTCACTACTCACCAAAAAGGCTTAATGACTGTGATAGTATAGGATTGCTTGGTGTTGTTCTAAGACTTTCCCCCCACTGCTCTCT